GCGTTATACAAGAAGGAAGCTGGATCAGGTTCAGCTTGCCATGTCTGGGATGTCAGATGTCATGTTGGAGGAGTCCATATCAGGAACTAGGTGTCCTATTCTCTCTCACCAACATCTGTGTGGCCCTCTTCCTTGTGTATATATGCTCATAGACAGAAATAAGGGACATGTGAGTTACACCCACAGTCATGCTGTTGATATACAAGACTTGCAGTCATGCCGTTGATATACAAGACTTGCAGTCATGTTGTTGATATACAAGACTTGCAGTCATGCTGTTGATATACAAGACTTGCAGTCATGCCGTTGATATACAAGACTTGCAGTCATGCTGTTGATATACAAGACTTGCAGTCATGCCGTTGATATACAAGACTTGCAGTCATGCCGTTGATATACAAGACTTGCAGTCATGCCGTTGATATACAAGACTTGCAGTCATGCTGTTGATATACAAGACTTGCAGTCATGCCGTTGTCACTGTGCAGTCATGTTGATATACAAGACTTGCAGTCATGCTGTTGATATACAAGACTTGCAGTCATGCCGTTGATATACAAGACTTGCAGTCATGCCGTTGATATACAAGACTTGCAGTCATAATGTTGATATACAAGACTTGCAGTCATGCTGTTGATATACAAGTTAAGCTGATTATAGACTTGCAGTCCTAATGTTGATATACAAGACTTGCGGTCATGCATGATATTATTGATATACAAGACTTACCAACAATACCTAGAGTTGTTGATATACAAGACTTGCAGTCATGCTGTTGATATACAAGTTAAGCTGATGATAAACCATACCAACAATTATGCCGGTGATATACTATTCCCAGTTAACCTGGTGATATACTATACAGACAGCCTGGTGATATACCATACCTAGAGTCAGGCTTATGATATTACACACCCACAGTCAAGCAGGTGATATACTATACAGACAGCCTTGGTGATATACCATACCTAGAGTCAGGCTTATGATATTACACACCCACAGTCAGGCAGGTGATATACTATAGCTACAGTTTGTTAGTACCAATGATCGCCTGGAGCAGTTCTCAAGGTGTAGGGTACGTGTGTTATTCAATGGCTGTAAGACTCTCCATCATATCAGCAAGATATATATCTGTATCACATGCCTGAGGTGAAAGCGATTGTAGTGTAGATTAGATAACATTGTCACGACTGTGGTGGAAATACAGGACTTGAGATAACAAACACATTCCGTCCCATGTTATGTAAGAGAATTGTGGGTGTTTTTATCAGATGTCTTCATTGATAGAAGGGGTGAAAAGACAGTACACCTGAAGCCATGGTACCAGTCAGCTTTTTGCTCTTCTCCATCCTGTCATGCAATTTTCTTTGGATACCTTTATCAGATATTCAAATATGAATTATTGAAAGTTCCAATTTGATGATCACTGTTGATTTGAGTGAGTGAGTGAATGAGTATGGTTTTACGCTGCCTTTAGCAATATTCCAGCAACATCAAGGCAGGGACACCAGAAATGGGGAATCGAACCTGGGTCTTCGGCGTGATGAGCAAACATTTAAGCACAAGGCTACCCCACCGCCCCCTGGGTATTTGAGATCAGATAAGTCAATGGCAAGAGGATAAAGGTTACTGGCTGTTGCCCTTGTCACTTGCCTGTTCTAAAGATTAATGTGACTGAATCTAACCATATTCATAAGAATTATCTGCTATAGCAGAATGCACTGCACAATTCAAACCACACCACATTTATGTGCCTACAATTGTTCATCAAAGTGTTTTTACACCAGGTGCTTGCAAAATTTGTGTAAATTTCCTGTGTTCAAATTTATGGCTAGGTTGTATGAGTAAACAGATTCACTTACAATCTACTTACTGTAATTTAAAATGTAAAACTGAAAATTTGTGTACATTTTGTATTTCACACTATTTCCAAATCTATGACAGATGAAGGGATTCAAGATAGCTACTGTTTCACAGTTTGAAACTAATTATCTGCAGCCTGACTTTTCTCTGGAAAATCCATGGAATCAAGACTTTTTTTCAAAGCAAATGATTAAATTTAATATCTAAAAAAATATAATGGAAAGGTAGCTTTGAAAAGTGACTAATTAGCGTGCCTCTGGCGTTTGTCATCAACCATTACTCACAGCAGGAAGATATATTTCAATAGCATTTATTTCTAATCAATTACACGTGTGTGTAGAATTCTATAGGTAATACATATTGATCCTGATTTGTAATACCGACACTGGTAAACGCTTGTTCAGTTCTCACCAGATGGCTGACAGGTATCGATATAACTGCTACAATTGACGTAAAATGATATTGTCGAGTGTGTGTCATGAGGGGAGGCATGCCACGCCCTCTTCACATCAGCTGGGTGTGTGCTGAAGCACCAACTGCTGCAATGGGAGTCGAGCTGTTGAGATGAAAGCTGTGGGACTTGTGAGATGAAAGCTGTTGTCAGTGTTGTGGTAGAAGCATGCTGTGGTTGTATGCTTTGATCAGTCATGGAAAGCTGATGTCATGCTTTGTAATGTCAAGATGGGAGTTTTAAATTCTGGGTTGTAAAAACAAGGGGTGGGCGCGTGTGTTGTGGTATTGTGCTGTGTTCAGTGAGGGAAGCTGTTGGCATGTTAAGTGTAGATGGGGATTTTTAAGTGCAGGGTTGTACAAGGGTGGGTGTGGTTTCTATAATAGATGCTGTTCATTTCTACCAGTACAACATTTTGTAGATCACTCAAGCTGGCAAATTTAGTAATATTTATGACCATGTTCACAAAAGTTATCTTGAAATCCAAACCTAGACTAACACTTAGTCCCTGAATATATATATAATGTTGATAGTAACAATAAACCCATTTAAATTGAAAAGGAGCCCCAGTGAGTTGGGAGATTCTGAACCTGGGGAAATCTAGACTTGCTTCATTTATGGCTTTAGCATTGCAGGGAAGGCTGGGCAGTAGAGAAGACAGTGTGTTTCAGGGACTGTGAGACAGACTAATTAAACCATGTGCCCTTGGCTAGGAAAACTGGTTAAAAATATGTATTCGTTTATAATAATTTTGTATAAAATTGAAATAAGTAAATAAATTCATTTTCTTAGTTTCAGGCATTAAAGACTTTCCTTCTTGTGGTTCTCTCAGCCTTACTCACATTCATACAGCCATATCACTAGTTACAACTCTATCAACATGTATTAACTATAATAATAAGGCCACTTATATAGCACTGAACTCCATGCCACACGAGCATGCTTTAAGTGCCTACAACATAATGGACATTATTAGCCTGGTTAACCCAGGCTGCCTTTGAGATGCTAGAAGGTTAACAGTCATATGACTAATCCCACCTGGTACCCATTTTTCTGCTGGGTGAACAGAGGCAAATTTGACCAAACTCACTTGCCTAAGATGAGGCCACATGAGTTACATGTGATATTTTAAACTCCAAATTACTCATATCTGTTGCATTCTTGAGTCAGATATTAACCTCTAAGAAGATCTAGAAATATCCTGATTCAAATATGTTGGTCATCTGGTTCTTGTCAAAATTACTGATTGGATAATAAAAGGTCATGTGATATAAGCCATGTTATAAGTCATACAACATGTTAATCACCAAAGATAATTAAGTGACAGGAAGCAGTTTCCAAGACACCTTCCATTTGTACGGCAACTGCGAGGTTAGTGACTGTTGGTCAGTACTTGTAGGTTAACTGCTCAGTTCTCCATGAACTCAGGACTGAGTGACATGATGTCAACATCGGTTGTGCTTCATGAGAAAATTTGCATCCAGTCGGCAAAGTGACACTAGCTCACTTTATTTGAAATCTGAGGCGTGACTTTTGAGCACTTTGTGTATATCTGATAATGGAACCCTTCCTGAGGTGTAACAGAGCTGATCGGTGGCCTGGAGTCCTCCGTCACTTTCCCTTGTCCTGATACATGCTTGATTTATTTCCCTTTATAACTGGAAACAGACATGTCGCTGTGGACTAGGTTGCCACAGCACAATGGCTGCCTCGGTGTTGTTCAGAGTCTTTGTTTAATTTACTGCATCAGACCGTTTAAGCCTTCAGATAAGGGATTTGTTGTTATAAAGGGAGATAACTCTCTAACACTTGACCCGACTTGTCAGTTTAGATGAGTTATTTTTAAGGCTAATTTTGTTTCTAGTTGCGTGGATATTCAAAAGAAATAAAAATATTTTAAAGAAATATTTACAGAGGTGATTAGAGTTGTTCTAATTTTCTAAATCAATGAAGTGTGTCCCATGTTGTTCTGTTTTACGCAGTCACCAAAGTTTAAGTCATATTATGACAGTCTTTAATATAATCTGTGATAGTTGAATAGGAAGTTGATAACAATCTGAGCCACAATGACATCCCAGTCTTCTTTGGCCAGGTCTTATCAACTGGCAGTGAATGGGTACCAGGAAGGAGATGGCTATGTGACCATCCAGTGCTCTTGAAACAGGTTTCTTAACAAGCATTAAGTATTGGAGACTGCTTTTCTTCCCAAATTGAAAGATTATAATTTTGTAGAAACTCAGCTAAGTCGAAATTGTCGTATCATTTCATGAATCATGTCTCTGAGAATTAGTTCTTCAACAATCTGAGCCACAATGGCAGCCACACATTGTAGCACCCCAATCTTCTTTGGTCAGGTCTTCCAGCTGGCAGTGAATGGGTACCAGATGGGATTTGGTTATGTGACTGCTGTACAGTGCTTTTGAAATCTTGGGGCCCGGCCCTATCTGTAATTCAGAACCCTAAGTCAAGTCTAGAGTTCTTCAGGTTCTGAATCTCCCATCTCGCTGGGGCTTTTTTCAGTTTAAGCAGTGATTTGTTCTGTCCAAATTATGTATTTTCAGAGACTATTACGGCTGCGCAATACAACCGGTTTACTGGTATTTACCGGTTCAGACATGAAAACGATACGTATTGCAATACGCTGATCGAAAACCGGTATTTTGACATGCATTCAGAAAAATTCGTAACACTTGGAAATCTTCGGATATTTCCTTGTTTCATTTGTGCCAAATATTATTCACATTTCCATGTTATTATGGTTAAAAGTTGTTATTAAAGCTTAATCAAGCCTAGTGATTTTGCTGTGTATTTGCTCTATAAATCAAGCATTACCTCGATTATAAGTAGTTCTTTGTTTAAAAATACTTCATGCAATATATTGCAATACATATCGCAATACATGCTTTCGCATCGCAATATGAACATTCTCTGCAATACCCACCCGTAGAGACTATGTGTTAGTTCTGCTATAAAGATTGTTATCAGCTGAGACTGAGGTACCCTGCAAATGCCGAAGTCGCATATTGGTGCTATTGCATCGTGAACTCTCTCTTTTCTGAAATGTACATATGTCCAGTTCTTTATGAGTGATGCTGCATGACAGTTACACGACTGTTGCATGACGCATGATTGCAAACCACATGACTGTCTAAACAGTGGCATGTCAAGATGTTTCTAACAAAGAGCTGATGATGATGGTAATATCCGGATGTTATTACTGCCATGCAATCATGTCACAGTCTATTTATATAGGCACTGTTTTGCAGTTTGGGCGTATCATGTAGACCACTCCGACAGATGTTGGCTTTGGCTGCTGTGATTTAAACATATTTTATTCAATGAGGAAAAGGATTGGGCACAAGTTATCCAACTTAATGACGCCCTCTCCCAGGACTTTGCTGCTGTTCTAGTTAGGGCTGGGTATTGCAGAGAATTTTCATATTGCAATATATTGCGATGCGAAAGCATATATTGCGATATGTATTGCAATATATTGCAAGAAGTTCTTTTTTAACCAAAAACTACTTATAATCGAGTTAATGCTTGATTTATAAAGCAAAAACAAAATCACCATGCTTGATTAAGCTTTAATAAAAACTTTTAATCATGACAAAATAAAATGTAAATAATATTTGGCACAAATAAAAAAAGGAAAGGAACGATTTATAAAACGGAAATATCCGAAGATTTCCGAGTGTTACGAAGTCTTTTCGAATGCATGTCAAAATACCGGTTTTCAATCAGCGTATCGCAACACGTATCGTTTTCATGTCTGAACCGGTATATACCGGTAAACCGGTTATATTGCGCAGCCCTAGTTCTAGTCCTCCTTTACCTGTGCGAAGGTTAAGCTTTCAATATCGGTAAATGTTTGATGATTCTATTTCCTTGACGCATTAACAACAGAAGCAAAGAAAATAAAAGTGTGTCTTTGAATGGCATTTAGAAGTGATACACAAGGAAGAGAGTTTTTATGGATGTCAACTTCTGTATTACGAGAAACACGTTTCAGAGTATATCCTTACTTCTTCATCAGGTGAATATAAAACTAAAAGTGAATTTGATTGTATTATTCGGTTGTTTTATTTGTCTTTTGTAATTGAATTGTTTTATGTTAAATCTAACCAATCTTAAATGATGAGACGGTAGAAAACAACATAGAAGTTTTCCAATTGCTCTGGATTTTTTTATGGCTGTTGACTGTTACCTGTAAATGGATTTCAAACTATATTTAAACAATTAGCTATAAAATAGGCAGCTAATGTGTAGGACACATTTGTTGTTGTGAAACACATTCTCTGTGTTGATTATTATTATTCTATATTGTGATTAAATAAGTATAATTTGTGAACACAAAATGTATATGTAAACCCAAAATGGAGGTATAAACCGAATATTTAAACCCAGAGCGGGAGTATAAACTGAATATGTAAACCCAGAGTTGGAGTATAAATGGAATATGTAAACCCAGAGTGGGAGTATAAACTGAATATGTAAACCCAGAGTGGGAGTATAAACTGAATATGTAAACCCAGAGTGGGAGTATAAACTGAATATGTAAACCCAGAGTGGGAATATAAACTGAATATGTAAACCAAGAGTGGGAGTATAAACTGAATATGTAAACCCAGAGTGGGAATATAAACTGAATATGTAAACCCAGAGTGGGAGTATAAACTGAATATGTAAACCCAGAGTGGGAATATAAACTGAATATGTAAACCCAGAGTGGGAATATAAACTGAATATGTAAACCCAGAGTGGGAGTATAAACTGAATATGTAAACCCAGAGTGGGAAGTATAAACTGAATATGTAAACCCAGAGTGGGAGTATAAACTGAATATGTAAACCAAGAGTGGGAGTATAAACTGAATATGGAAATCCATGTTGTATATGTCTGTAAATGTAAATATACAGGTGTAAAACAGCTTCAAGCTGTCAACTCGTCCTTCAGAGCTGGCATGTTTCTATAACCACATCTATATATAGTGTTTCAAGTGGCATCATCAGACTTTCATTACTAGCGGACCCGTGATGATCCGGGTTAGAATTGATCTTCAGCAACCCATGCTTGTCGTAAGAAGCAACTAACGGGATAAGGTGGTCAGGCTCGCTGACTTAGTTGACACATGTCATCGTATCCCAATTTCGAGATGGATGCTCATGCTGTTGCAGGGCTCCAGATAATTTTTCAACATCAGGAGTACGTACTCCTATTTTTTCAATATAGGAGTACTGGATAAACTTAAGAGTACATTTTGAGTACTGAATGGAATTTAATGGCGTATCAGTAGTCTTGTGTTTCGTTTCATATATGCACCACAACATTACTACTCTTGTGTAAACAGGTCAATAAACAATAAAACAACACTCTTTCAGATAAATACGTCTGTAAATAATTCCAAGACCGTACAGCATTGCTGTGGTACGTATGTGCTACGTTTTCTAAATTATTTCCTACCGTATCGTGCATATTTTTCATCCGTACATACACCGATACGGCCCTTATCTGGAGCCCTGCTGTTGATCACTGGATTGTCTGTTCCTGACTTGATTATTTACAGACCGCTGGAATATTGCTGAGTGCGGCGTTAAACAACAAACCCAACCAAACCAATCATTACTAGCAGGGGATAACTTGGCCTTTCTTCATCACAAAACAGTTTCAGTGTTTCAGATTGCCATTGACCTCTCAAAAAATAATCTAGCATCTTCTATTTCTGGTTATATCCCAGCCTTCCACACTGTAACAAGGACTGTTGTTTCCTCACGGAAAGCTCCACTCGACCTGAAATTAATTCAGTGGAACAAGATCCGTCTTTTCAAACAAACAAACCTCCACCACAAGAGAACAAGGATCTGGGGTTTTTTAGCAAATCAAACATGACAACAGTGTGTTCAAATTATCATTTACAGTTCGACCTGAAACAATGCCCAACTTGATTTAAGTTTTATAACCTCGATTGGCAGGAGATAAATGCTGTTAAACCACTGTGTTTTTTCCCCCACCATTCCATAGGTGATAGGCTTTTAGCAGCAAATTTCGATGCATCTATGTTGTAGAATGGCCTGATTTTATCAGGGCTGTCTTAAACAGACAGTTACACCAGTTTTTAGTTCAATGAGGAGAGGTTTGACATGTGAGGAGTTATGATCTCCAAGTGTTGTCAACCTTAGCTGTGTGGTCGCCATAGTGGAAGATGAACGGCAGGCATAAGGTGGATAATACAAGTGAGAGTAAAGGACAGAAACAGCATAAGGTAAATTTTAAATCGTAACGAGCTGTGTGTTTTCTTGTCTTAAGTCTGCTGGTGATTTTTATCGTAATGGTCGTCGTGGACATGTTTGCTGGACATTATGTCACCTTGACATTCTAGATCAAACAATGTTCGGAACAGTCTGTTACATCCTTACAGCATATGTAACAATGAGCTGAGATTTCATGACTGTTGTCCAAATGTCAGCGGTTGGGTGTACATGAGATGACAATTCATGAGTTTGTTAAAGGATGATGATACAATTTACAAAGTATGTGTATGTCAATGCTCTATGTACTCAGAGGTAAGATCCAGGAAAAGGCCAATCTGTCATCTCCTGCTACCTGTGGGCAGGATATGTTGCCCGTCGTCCTTGTAGTCTGAACTCGGTAGTGTGTGTTTTACCTTATGGTAGTAGCAGGGTAGTGTTTTGTTGTTTTACACAATATTATGTGAATGGAGTTTGTACTTTGTTTCTTGTTATTGAAAAGAGATATACCACATTTCATTCATACATAAGTACAGCCTGTTATTGGTCCTAAAGAACAAAGGGCGGTGGGGTAGCCTTATGGTTAAAGCGTTGGCTCGTCACGCCGAAGATCCGGATTCGTATCCCCACATGGGTACTATGTGTGAAGCCCATTTCTGGTGTCCCCCTGCCGTGATGTTGCTGGAATATTGCTAAAAGAGGCGTAAAACCAAACTCAGTCAGTCAGTCAGTCCTAAAGAACAAAGGGCGGTGGGGTAGCCTTATGATTACAGCATCCGCTCGTCACTCTGAAGACCTGGTACACTGTGTGAAGCCCATTTCTGATGTCCCCGCCGTGATATTGCTGGAATATTGCTAAAAGTGGTGTAAAACCATACTCACTCACAAAGCGTTCTTGGTGCCATGATAAGCATCGGTATATATCAAAGCATTGAAGTAGCACAGTCAAATGTCTCAGAGTGGATTGTGGAACGGATTTGCAGTGCTCAAACTTCTAGGCATTTGTAAATAATATAATAAATGACCTCAATATCCAAATTTTTGCTATTATTGAACAGCTGTTTGAGAATTAATGTTACCTGACATGTTAATTAATCTTCACAGTATTATCATCAAAGTTTGCAACTTATCCAAAGCCTTAATCAAGTCACTCTTTGTGTGGTCAGCACATTCGGCTTAAAACAGTTCATACATTAAATTAAAAGTCGCCGATGGTTATTCCAGGTTATAATTGGTCCCCAGCAACCCATTCTGGTCCTTGGCAACAACCAAATGCCTCGGTGGCATTGCAGGTAGCATTTCCTTGTACCCAGATACCATGGATTGGTGCTCTCAATATCAATCATTGGATTGTCACAACCCACTGACAAATAACTGGGAAAGTGACATTTAACAGCAAATAAACAAACTTCCAAAAGGTCCCAAGAGATGATTTCGTGCTCATATATTCAGGAGGTTTTAGCACAGACTGTTGTTTCTTTATCAGTGTCCCATACAAGGTCAGTTTACTGTGTTGTTGGTGAAAGCTAGTTTGCCCACCTTCATTGTGGTGTATTTAGCCAAGGTAGTAGAAGCTCTGTTCTTTGCATGTTGAACATACACCTGGCCTGGACAATCAACAGTTAGCATTGTCTAATAGGAGTATTCTATTCATCCTGGTGTGTTCGATCAGCAAACACTCAACAAATGTTTCTGTGGTACATATTGGTGTTTGTGTTCAGGGCGTGGATAGATTATTTATTCATGAATATAAACTGTGCTCCGATGTCCAGTTGCAGGGTTTGCACAGACTTGAGAAAACCTGCAATTTCGATAAAAAAAAGGCACTAAATTCGATTATAAAAAAAAGGCACTAAATTCGTTTTTGCCTTGAAAAGGCCCTAAGTGCATGTGATTTGCCCTAAAAAAGGCCCTATATTTAGCATAATCAGGTTATGATTTTACAGGAAACCAATACATAATGAAAATACCTTGCAATAATAGTGAATGTTAATTAATCTCCATTGCAAAGCAAAACTTTCCCAGTGTATCGATGTAGCCAATAGTTAGTTCCCACTGATGGTGGGTCCAACATTTGACCAACCTCGTTGACCAACTATTTATGTGTTTCTGTAGTACCTTAAAATTGTTGACTTGGCCTTAAAAAATCCCTATAAGGCCTTAAATTTGATGGCTGATTCGATACAAACCCTGAGTGGTTCTTAGTTTCCTGGGGGTGGTTGGGTAGCCTAGTGGTTAAAGCATTGGCTCGTCACGCTGAAGACCTGGGTTTGAATCCCCACATGGGTACAATGTGTGAAGCCCATTTCTGGTGTCCCCCGCCGTGATGTTGCTGGAATATTGCTAAAAGCGGCGTCAAACCAAACTCAGTCAGTCAGTCTTAGTGTCCTGGATCCATACAAGATGTCACCAAGGCCAATTTTGTTGTAAGCATTACTGCTAATGAAAATCTGGGTTAGAATTGGTCTTCAGCAACTGTGCTTGTTGTAAGAGGCAGCTAACAGGATCAGGTGGTCAGGCTTCCAGACTGGATTGATGCATGTCATGATATCCCAAGTATGTAGATTGATGCTCATAATGTCAAGAGGCGGTGGGGTAGCCTAATGGTTAAAGCGATGGCTCGTCACGCCGAAGACCCGGGTTCGAATCCCCACATGGGCACAATGTGTGAAGCCCATTTCTGGTGTTCCCCGCCGTGATGTTGCTGGAATATTGCTAAAAGCGGCGTAAAACCAAACTCAGTCAGTCAGTCATAATGTCAATCACTGGATTGTCTGGTCCAGACTTGGTTATGAATGGAATATTCCTAAGTGCAGAGTTAAACAACAAATAAGCAAAGTATAAAAATTACAAAAGCTGAAATCAATGTGGTTGAGGCGTTTATACTGAGTGAGTGAGTTTAGTTTTATGCCGCACTCAGCAATATTGCAGTTATATGTCGGTGACCAGTAAATGATTGAGTCTGGACCAGACAATCCAGTGATCAACAGCATGAGCATCGTTCCACACAATTTGGATAAGATGACATATGACAACCAAGACAGCGAGCCTGACCACAAAATCTTATGACAAGCAGACAAGGCTTAAGACCAACTCTAACCTGGATCTTCACGGGTCTTTATACTTATTCACTGCGTACCAGTTTGTAGCATACAATACCTGCACATGCCTTTTATTGGAATGTTTTCCATTTGTTTTACAGGTTTGGTCATAAAAGCAAACAATAACAATAAAACATCTGTTGCTGAGCACTGCTTTTCATATTATATTAAGGCTTATCTGTAATTATACAGAATTTGCAGTGGCTGCAATATATTGTGAAACATATCACACATATGCGTCTCTATTTTAATATATTGCACAGGAAAAACTCCATATCCCATGTCATCAAATAATTTTCACAGTACTAATTGTATTTGGACTATCATGAAAAGTGCTTATTGACAAGGCAAGTTAAACGCCTGATTTGTTGCAATATTCTATGGGGAGCAGGCTTGCTCTGAGGATTCTACTGAATAACTGCAAAATTTGCTGATACGGCACTATTCACTAGGTAGCCCCAGAGGATCTGAGTCGTGGCTCCTTCGGCTAATGTTTTGTTTGACCAACACAAACAATCTCAGCCAGTAAACAAAAATGAAATAACCTAAAAACATTCTTGACATCTTTGTAAACTTTGTGATATCCATTATGAATTTATTGCTAGCAACTACATGAAAAGTATCATTCAAAATTGGATCCCTATCATTTTGTCTACTTGAGTTGTTAAGTTATATGCTGAACAGAAATATTTTATACCAAGAATATTTTTTAGGGTGTTTTTATTAAAATGTGTCCTCACTCTTCTACAAAACATTTCTCCTAAAATATTCATTACTTTTTTTGGTCAATTTTATTTTGTAGTTATTTCATGATTGTCTACTTTCAACTGACTATATGCTCTGAAATATTTAGAAGGGCATTAGCAAACCCTTTACTGGTGCCATTACAAAATTTATGTTCATAGCGTTGAAATATTGATGAAGTTTAGGTGATAAACAGAAAGATTGTATATACTCCATGTTAAACAGACTGACATAAAGAAACAGATTGCTCAGGAAGGTCACCCTGACCTCAGGAACTCCAGTTCATAAATCACCAGCCCATATGTTATAGGTCATATCGCTCTGGTTGGCTAGATCTAAGATGGATGGTTGTGAAGTTGTTTTATTACCTCTTAACACTTCCTTTGGAACTTGGTGATGGTGTTTTGCAGTATTGATTCATTTAGAGGTGTCACAAGCTATCACTTTGGACGGTTGTCTTTGGTTTTGGACATTGGGGTAGCCTAGTGGTTAGAACATGGGCTATTGACGACCCGCGTTTGATCCGCAATAAATTATGGTAAAAAAACGTAGGAATACCCTATCGGTTTTATCTGAGTTACTATTTTAATTAGCTAAAAGTGGCTTATAACTCTCACCTGTATCACTGACATTCAATTGCCAACTCAATCATTATCTCTCTTCTTCACTTACTTGTGAACTCACTCACTTACCCACCAGGTTGCGCACTCACTCATCCATCAACCCACTTACTCACCCATTGACCCACTCACTCACCCAACCGCTTGCTCACCCACCCACCCACTCATCCATCAGCACGTTCGCTCACCAACTCACCCACTCACTCACTCACTCACTCACTCACTCACTCAGCCACATCATACCATAAGATTGTTACTCAACTAGGCACTTGAAATAATGCGTACAAAATAGTGACTGACAGGCTCAGATTTAAGGGGGTGGCCAGTGGCCAAGCAACCATGCACACGCGTTTGCACGCACTCATGCACGCACTGCACACACACACACACACACACACACACACACATGCATGTCTCTGTAATTAAAAAATCCTGAATCCATAGTATAAAATCACTCACTCACTGATAACATTTTTGGCCAATCAGCTGATAAGAGACACAATAAGTGTCCAGTTCCCACTACTTAACTACAATACAGATTGACATAGCTATAAAAGTCAAGTTTATTACATATCATTGGGACATTAAGATGTTGACTTAGCTGTCACCATCACGAACATGTCATTATGGCAAAATAATGTCGAATGGGTCATAGACCAACATTCAATCAATGTCGTCAATTCACTCAATGTAAAACTTTAAGTCACTTTGATGTGGTGTGATAGAGTTCAAATTAAAAACAACTTGAAAGGATAAATATATTCTTCTAAGACTTTGCTTGTGATGACTAGACATGTATATGGCCAACATTAGAATTAGAAACCGTATTAATTGGTTTGAATCATAAACACTCTTCTGAAGAATTAAAGGGTGTACTACTCAAGAAGTTGAGGATCGCTGATTCTTCATATTACTGTTGTTTATTTTATCGTTCCATGACATTTTCAACCAGTTATTGTGGAATGCAAGGTAAATTTTAGGAATGATCACTTGCTTTAAACAGTGTTAGCATCTACACCGAAACGCCACATCCATTGCAATGACTGACTGACTGAGTTTGGTTTTACGCCGCTTTTAGCAATATTCCAGCAACATCACGGCGGGGGACACCAGAAATGGGCTTCACACATTGTACCCATGTGGGGATTCGAACCCGTGTCTTCGACGTGACGAGCCAACGCTTTAACCATTAGGCTACCCCACCGCCCCTCATTGCAATGAAGAAGTTGTCAATCCATATAAACTCGTTCCTGGTTATCATACCGGCTTCTATATGCCACTCAAAGAAGTGGTTACTAGAGTTATATGAAAGAATTGGGTGGTTCTTTCTATTTCTGGTATATTTTCTGTCTGCCTCCATTGTCTAGTGGATAGTGTTAGTAAATCCATGTCCATGTCATACCAGAAGACCTTACTCTGAAATCTGACCCGATAGCTCATTCTGTATTCTGTGGAGGGAGGAGACAAGTAAAGTGAGAAACATTTATTTAAAAACTGTATTTGGATAGCTGTGACTGAGTGCATGGAGACCGCGGACCGTCACTGTGGAGGTATGTGTGTGGGTTGTTCAAATCCACAGTACTAGTCCACAGCTCCAGCTTCCTCAACTTTCAACTGACGATGAAACAAAAAATGTACAACCTTATGGATGGAATTAGAAGGAACTCCCACATATTTTTAACATTCTGAAGCAAACATAATGTCCGATAGTCAAACATGTGTAAAGTTCATGAAAGATTGCTGGCATTTCCTTGTGAACAACCATGTTGCAACTCTGTAAAGAAAAGTTTTGAGATTGTAAAAGGCAGTGTGGTAGCCTTGTGGTTAAAGTGTTTGCTCGTCATGACAAGGCCCAGGTTTGATTCCCCACATGGTAAGCCCATTTCTGGTGTCGCCCATCATGATATTGCTGGAATATTGCTAAAACTGGTGTGAAACCACCTCACTCACTTACTGTTACAGAGGGACTGGACACCTTGTGTGCTGCACTGTTCTGTAGTTCCAGTCTTGGTGTAAACATAGCGCTGTGTGTTGTGGTGCCATTTGGGTTTCAGTAACTGTTAAAATCATGACACCTACTGCATAATAATTTCATAAAACAAAAACAAAAACAAACAAAAAACTGTTTGGTTTTTTTGCATCATAAATTTAAACAACAAATCAGTAGTAATGAGCAAAGTCTGCCAATTTTACAGATTCTGTAGTGGACGGTTGGAGTCATCAAAGG